ACCGATCCAAAATACAAATTGAGAAATTGGAAGAAGCTAGATTCGTCGATGAAGAAGCAATCTGTTGATAAAAAAAAGTAAGAATTGATGCCCAAAAGATCAACCTACCTGGGTCAATTTGGATCTCGCCGTCGAAGCTAGATTGGAAAGTCTAAAAAAAGGGAAAAGACAAGACGAGCGATTTTGTTCTCGTCGTTGCATGTCATCTATCATAGAGAAACGGGAAAGAGAAGAAAGAGAAGCTGAACCCCCTGTTTAGGAAGGAAGGAAGGAAATGGAGGGGAGGGGGAAGGGAGGGGATCACACTTTTCTCTCTCGTTGAATCAGTTGCTTTTATTGGCAAGAAAGAAACTGATACAATGAAGCAGGATCACAAAGGATCCCACATGTAACAACTCTCAAATCCGCCTGCAACAACTCAGCTACCCTCGCATGATCACGACAAGGCGAGCCAGAACCACCCCACATCTTTCCTTCCACACAAACGTCAATATCATGCACCATACCAAAGCATGCTAATTTCAAGAGTTTCTGCAGACTGCATTGCTAGCAGCTTGTAACATTATTTCCTAGTCTCTCTGCATCAACAGCTAACAATGCATAATATAGGCAAGTCTACGAGAAAAGGAGCAGTGGAGAAAAAGATGATCCCTAGTCTCTACAGCCATAACACATAGAGGGCAGGATGCATCCCTGAGTTTACCCCATTTCAGAAACTTGACCCGCGTGACAAAGGCATTCTTAAGTCTTAACTAGGATCCACGCAACCACATTGTACCGCGAAGGACATGTTCTGCTCCACACAAGCTTGTGTCATGGGACCTCTGGAGCTTTAACCCTCAAAGTGTCCCATATTGTGCGAACCGAATAAACCATCATCTCCCTTGAGTCCCAGTATATTTTATCATGCTGCTTATGCATCCATGGATGAACAATAAACCTCATTTCAAGCAGCATGTGCCATGTCCATGAGCTACTATACTGCACCTTCAATGACCATAATTCGTCCTATCTACAATTGTATTCATACATTCAGGCCACCCACAAAGTCCCCGAATTCAATAAAAACAGCCAAAGCATTCGGATAGTATATGCTTGATTCCAAGCTTGCAAATCCTTCACCCCCAGGCCACCCTCCTTGTTTGGAAGCGCTAAAGAGTCTCATGCCACCTTAGCTTTGCCTTAATCAGTGTCATGCCATAAGAATTGAGAGCAAACATTATGTACCCGCTTAAGATACTTCTTGGGAAGAACAAAGAGTTGCATCCAGTATTAACAACTCCTAGCAGCACTGAGTTTAGTAACTGCAATCTCCCTGCATAAGTCAACTTCTTGGCTTGCCATGATTTAATCCACTTGGTGATCTTTTCAACCACAATATTAATTTCGTTCGATGATAACTTGCCGGTTATCAAGGGCAAACCCAGGTGTCTTACTGGCAAGTTACCTTCTAGGAAACCAAAGAGATCCAGAGCATTGTTCTTGTATTTAGGGGTCGTTTGCTTGTTGGATTTGAAAAATGAGGGTTTTGGCCAATAAAAACCTTGGGATTTATGTTGGATTTATTGTATTATGGATTTGAAGAGTCTACTGTTTGCATGAAAGATTTGATGATGGATTTGTTAAATAAATAACTAACCATCAAGGATTTGCAAATCCCAAATCAATATGTGGGATTTACAAGTCCGTGGGGTCCACGGATTTGGTTCCAAAATAAAGACCAAATCCGTGGACCCCACGGATTTAGCACTCTTCAACAAACAATGGACTTATGTTATATCCATCAACCTTGGGATTTGGGTACCAAATCCATGACACAAATCCAACAAGCAAACGACCCCTAATAATTGACTCTCCTCCAAAATAAACTTCACACTTAGCAAAATTACTTTTTAGCCCAGACAACTGATAAAATTGTTTCTGAAATGCTTTGACCTGAAGAATAGATAGAGCATATCCAGTAGTAAACACGAGAATAACATCCGCAAAACACATGTGATTTAATGCAATTCTCTGGCATTGTGGATGAAACAGAATCAAACCCTGAATGGCTAGCTTGCAACAACATGGTAGAAAAGCCCTCCATGGCTATGGTAAATAGATATGGTGACAATGGATCACCCTGTCGTACCCCTTTATTATTCCGAAAGAAACCACATAAGCTGCCATTGATGTTTCTACTACAGTGTGCAGTCTGTATGCAACTCTTAATCCACTTCATAAACCTCTCAGGGAAACCCATTACATTCATCATAAGTAAAAGATACGTCCAATTAACAGAATCGAACGCCTTCATTATATTGATCTTAATAGCACAGCGAGAAGACAATCAAATTCTATGATATCCACTAACCAGTTCCTGTGCTAGTAGAATATTATTCATAATGCTTCTATCCTTGATGAAAGCATACTGTGTTTTACTAATGACCAGGGCCAAAACTTCCCTAATTCTTCTATCAAGAATCTTAGCCACTATTTTGTGTAAGATATTTACACAAGAAATAGGCCTAAAGTTCTTGAAGGTATCAGCATTAGAGGTTTTGGGAATCAGAGACACAAATATGGAGTTAACCCCACAAGGAAGAGTACCTGAATTGAAGAAATAAAGGATCCCTCTGGTTACATAAGCGCCAATGATGGGACACGTTCTCTTATAGAAGCCAGTAGAAAATCCATCCGGCTTTAGAGCCTTTTGGGAATTCATGCCAAAAACTACATGTACCTTCTCTGTTGTGACATCTTGAATGAGTCTCACATTCAGCTGATGGAATTTGCTTTCGACCAATTGCACCACCTCTTCTTACCTAGGGTTGATATCCAAGTTAGCTTCCCCTAGTAATTTCTTGTAGTATCCAATCACTTCCTCCGCTATCTGTTCAGACTGAAAAATCTCCTTACCAAACTCCTTTACCAGCTTCCTGATAGCTCTTTTTGAGTTTCAAATTTCACATCTTGATGAAAGAAGCCTGAATTTTTATCTCCAACCGTTAACCAAGATACCCTGGATTTCTGCCAACAAAAGCTCTCATAAGCAGAAGAAAGCTTATCAAAGTGATCCTTAGTTTGTGTGACTGCCTCAAAATGTTCTGCTGTAGCATCTGAGTAAGCCCTAGTTTGAGCTCGTAGCAGCCCAGCTTCAGCCGTTTTAACTTGATCTTGAAGGTTCCCATAACCTCTATATTAAAAAAATTAGAGCTTTTTTAATCTCGCGCAACTTGCACTAAACAATCTATAAGAGCGTCCCAGAGATTTCAACTTTCCAAGCTTCTTCAACTATTTCCATAAAAGTGTATGCTCTACCCAAAACTCAAAGTACACTTTCCTGTACCTTTTCGGCTTTCCCCTGTTTTTCTAGCTCCAAAACAGTAACGAGTGGAGGGAATGGGGCAGAAAAAGAATTGTAGATAGCTACCCTCCAAATTGGAGGGAAAGCTTGTTATTTTTATCTCTCGTTCATTCTCTTATTCTTTTCTTTTCCAATTTCTTCTTTTTGTTTTATATGACTTTTATATAGCTCTAATTCATTTTTATAGCTTCATTTTTTTTAGTAAGTGGCTTATGCACAAATTTAAGTGTTAATGTTGATGGTTAACTAATGAGACAATTATATATTAGTTATTCTATTAGTCTAAACTCTAAACATCATAAACTGAGTTTATATTTTTTAGACTAATATTCCGTTGCAATTTGATTTGTTATATGTTTATATTTTTAGTTACTATGTTCATGAATGAATTAAATAGCGAACGATTTTAATAATAGGTTTATATTTTTTTTAAAAAATCATCTACTTTTGATTTTTAATAATGAAAAAAATTAGGTAGAAATTACAAATTTAGTTTACAAGTCATAAACAATGAAGATAATATCAACATATAATCAAAGTTTTTTACTATTATATACCCAATAAAATAACATATCCGTCACAATTCTGAATACACATTTTCCTTCCCACTTTCCTCAATAAAACACAATTTTCCTTTCAATTTCCTTAACCTCCAAATTGTCCTCCCCTCCATTTTCCTCCCTTCCTTCAAGAACAAAGGGGAAGGGTTCGGTACCCATGAAAGCTAAAGAGAGAGGAAGGAAAAAAGCAGCAAAGGTCACTATTGGAAAAAGTGGGCTAAAAATGCTTCAATCTACATTTCCTCCCCCCACCCAGGTTTTCTGAATTGAACCCTAACGAGGCAAATGCCATTTCCCCGGCCTAAATTGTTTCATTTATTTTTTGACTGCCAAACGAGCCAATTTGGCCCACTTGTCCCATATTGAGGCAATTGGAACAGATTAATCCATTCAAACGACAAATGGATCAATTGCAAAACGAGACGATTTAGTCAATTATCTTGTTTTACAAAATGAGTAATTTAAAATGAGTCAATTCGAATTACCTGTCCCCACCCTAGATAATTGTAATTGTCTCAAAATGATTCAATTCAGAATTCCCCATACCAAATTACTTCATCCAAATTTTCTGCTGACAAACGAGTTAATCTAGCCCAATTATGTCGGATTGATCCATTAGAATTTCTCATCCAAACCACCCCTATTTGGCCCACACCCTACTCTATTGACCAACAAATCAAATTAGTGAAATTACTAACACACATGACCAACTCTCCCGAATGCAACTCCTAGACACTAGTTAGGGATGGCAACAAAACCCGAACCCACGGGTATCCACCCGACCCAACCCGGTCAACGCGGGTAAAACCCGTGTTGACGGGTTTTGGGCCGGGTTTGGGTTTAAACCCGCTACACTATTCATCGGGTCGGGTTGGGTTTGGGTTTAGGTAAACCCACCCCATGGGTACCCGCCCACACACATATAATTACTTTTCCGGTATATTTAATATTCTAAATAATATATCTTCCTTAAACAACTAATATTCTTTATGTTTGTGGAGACATGTATAATTTGTTCTTTCTAATTGTTTAGAATGAAGTTGATATTATGAAGTGGAGAGTGAAGAAACTTAGTTGACGAGGAAGAAATTTTGAATTAATCTTATTGTTTATAGATGTTTATCTTTAATTTTGAACAATTTGTATTGATCATTTGCGGTTTGCTTGTACGCTCTAGATTGGTGTTTTTTGTATGAATAATTTGTATGAGAAAATTGATGTAACTTTTATTTTGAAAGAAACTTGTTAGTGTAAATTTTTTACCACAAAAACCCACGGGTACCCATGAACCCGCGGATACCCTGCGGGTTGGATTTGAATTTTTCAAACCCAGCGAATTTTATCCCGGGTTTTTGTGGCGGATAAACCCATGGATTTGGGTTTGACAAAACCCGGCCCATTGCCATCCCTAATCCTAGTGCCTAGTCTTCTACTCTCATTTTTTCGGGCGTTGGCCCATAAGTATGAGAAGATAGACCAAGTAATAATGGGCCCTTCCAATTTTCATTTCTATCTCGTCTTGCTGCTGAGTTTCAGAGGGAAGCAGATCGAGCAAGAGAACGCGCGTGCTTCAGAGTTCAGACCCCATCCCATCCCTTCTCGCCGGCGGCCATAGTTTTTCTCGTCTACCACGCGTAGCTCCCGCATTATCAAAGGTATATGTCCCCCAAGACCCCAGTCCTTCCTTTCCCTCGTCTGTTCAGTTCTCGATTTTCTCGTTTCTATTCTACACGGACGGCAGATCGCAGATCGCAGATCGCCGCCTGGGTCTAACATCTGGTGTTGGAATCGATTTCTTGGTTTATTCTTCTTCTAATATACATGACTGAAATCCGGCAGCCCCTTTGTGTCTATCTTGTGTGAGCCATTAAGATAATAATGCTAAAACCGGTAGAACCCCTGAGAGATCGCATAGTGAATTCCCCTTGTTTCATAATCATGCCCTTAATTTTGTTGGGCGGTACTGTGGTACATAGGGGGAACTTTTTCTGGCAGTGAATTTCATCTCGGCACAGAGTAATTGGAGTAGCTAACGAGGCATTCCAATGGTGCGAATCAAATTTGAAATGAATTCTGGAGAAATGATCCCCCTTCAACAAGGGCATATCGTTCTGTCTATGAATTCTCATTCTTGCCTGCCCTTAGCCTTCTAGGGAAGTATAATAAGTTAGGTTAATTACTTGGTCTTCTTGGGAATTCTCATTCTTGCCTGCCCTTAGCATGTAGGTTGAAAGCGAAGTCGTTCTTCCGTAGAGTGTTTGCAATCTTATAGCTTTTGGGGTATGAAGACAAAGTTTTTGGCAACCACAGTTTGTTTCTTGGGAGATGAACTAGTATGATTTCATGGGTTGCAATGTGCAAATCAAGCTCTTAATTCTATCGAACCTTGACAGTCGATAACAAGGTGGCACATTTAACCTAGATCTATGTCTATTGTCTAACAAAGGGTGGCTGAACTGGAGCTACATTCTTTTCCACGCTAGTCTGCCACTCTTCTTAATGGGGGAAAACTGCAGTGTTACCTTGCAGATTTTGTTGTTTGGTGGATGATTAACCTGCTATGATGTATATAGTTCTGATAAATGCCATGTTTCATTGTTGGATTCTGCAGATGTTTGACGACCAAGACCTCGGATTTTTCGCCAATTTCCTCGGCATCTTCATCTTCCTCCTGGTGATTGCCTATCACTACGTCGTTGCCGACCCGAAATATGAAGGCAGCAACTGAGAATGGAGTGGTCTGGTCTACTTGTATCCTGTTTAGATAAGAAGCTTTATTAGAGAACACTATACAGCAGTTTCCAAAACTTGTTCTTTGCTACCTAGAATACATCTGAACTTATGAACTGTCCTGTATCACTCGATCACCATTATCCCAATTAATGCAGGAACACCAATAGTTTCAAAACTTTCCATTGCATCACGTGAATTCTTTTTGAAGATATCACACTTTCACCATGCACTACTACTTTTTGGGCAGGAGACATCGTTTTAGAACAATGTCTTTGTTTCTGTACGTGCATACATTCTCTGTGATGTTAAGTGACATGGTCTGTTGCAGTCTTCGAAACTTTGGTTTAGAAGTCTTTCCAGGTTGGCCATGGTCACTGCAGGTCTGTTACTGTCTCAGAAAAGTCTTGCCCTTGGGGAAGAGTTAGAAAGTGATCTTCTCATAATTGTTTCTTATCAAGTGGCGACCTGGCCAGTCTCCCTTTAACCCTAGTTTGATGGATTGATTACAGATTGTGTCGTGATGATTGATGACAAGTCAACAGCACAATTCAGATTAGAAATTTCGATTGCTACCCCTTTCATATGCTGACCATGAGTCTGTACTGTGATTGTTAGCATGGACTCAAAAAGCACGATTCTACGTAGAAGCATTTTGGTGATATAAAAGCGTAAAGTTTTAAAGTGCGATTTTGATTACATTAGGAAGGGAAAAGTGTAATTCTATGTAAAAACGTTTCGATGACCTAAAAACGTGGATGCATAAGTTTTTAAAACTTAAAACGTGATTTTGATTACGCTACTTATTAACACTTAATGTTGGTTGTTCTTTGAATGAAGCAACATGTTGAAATAAAAATTGGAATGTCAATGTCTGGAAAAAAAATCGTGGTAAAAAAATGTCTCAAATTTAAATGGATGGAACATATAGGACCAGTTTTTTTCTTTGATTTTGAAAGAATATGATGTGTGGTGTTTTGGATGATGAGTTTTAGAAATGAGATAGTTTGACTCAATCGTTTTGAAATTAGCTCATCGTACAATTTATGCATCATCTCAAAATACTTGTTCCTTCCTCTGTTAATTCAAGTCGATGTAAAACGAAGTAATTCGTATTGTATGTAGTCAATTATTGCATTCTCGTTCGGTTTTTCCTAATGAGACAATTTGATATAATTTTTTTCATTTTGAGACATTTGGTCGATATTCCATCATCGAGGCCAAACGACCTCTTAAATTTTGACGAGAGAATTAAGGTTGAAAATTGTACATATTGAATTTTTTTTATCAAACTCAATTTCATTGCTAAATTCATATATCAAACGAAGTACCACGATCTCCTCTCAATCAATAATAGCAAAACAATCATTATCTCTTGAATCATATTGTACCAACTGAGGAATGCCATCATAACACACAAGTCACACATATATGGTACCAAAACGAAAGAGAGAGAGAAAAAAAAAACAATCAAAATCAAAATCCTATTTAACTCGAGAACCTTTTATAATTATGAAATTCTCAGAGATGGAAACGAGAGCCGTTGATTACAAAACAGACGACCCGATAGCCCGAGAGCAAGCTGGTGAACCCTAGGAACAGGAACCCGAGGAAGCCCAGGGCAATGGCGATGTCCGACTGGAGGCAGAAAGCGCTGTAAGATCCACAGGTGTCTCCTCCTTCCCTGAGCGTCTGGGCGAGCGCCGTCGCCGCCGAGCCCGCCGACAGCAGCAGGTAAGCGAAAATCTGGTCGTGCCCGAAATCGAACCACACTTGCAGCACCTCTGGAAAAATCGTCGCGCTCTTGAGAACTTCCCACGCCGACGCCGTCACTTCCAGGAGCGAGTACACCGCCACGATCGCATTCGCCGCGAAAACGTATCTGCGGAAAGGGAGATAAGTTATTAATTTATTGTTTTTGTTTGGTTGTGGCTCGAGGAAGAAGCGGGAATCAGGCGAAACAAATTTGAAATTGAAATCGAAATCGAAATGTTGCTTTTTCCCCGGCAGCCAAACAAGAAATTGGGAACTGACCTAAAGGCGTCGAAGTCGCGCCAGGAGGGGGAGCCGGGGCCGCCGGAGTTGGTGAGGGTGAAGATGGAGGAAGAGAGGGAGAAGCAGAAGGCGAGGAGGCGGAGGAGGAGGATGAGCGAGTTGAATCGGCGGAGCTTCTGTGCGGACAGAGTGGAGTGGAAGTGAGGGGCGGAGATCCGTGGGTGTGGAGACGGCGTCTCGCCGTTGCGCAGCGGCTGCGGTGAGAACATGATGTTTGACGGCCGGGGGGATCAGTGGTCGGCGGCGGCGGCGGAGGAGGAGGAGGAGAAGAGAGGCTGGGGAGCCATTTGAGAAGGGGAAGCGGGAAAGATATGGGGGAAGGGGAATGGAAAAGGGGAGAGTTTGATTTTTCATGGGGAAAATATGAGATGGAAACTGGAAAGTTGGGAAATGGGTGTAGGGGTTAGAAAGTAAAATAGTTGGGGGTGAATGGTAAGTAAGGAAGAGATGGGTGATTGCACTGGTAATTGATTTCTCTGTTATTTGATTTCAAGGTTGTCAATCCTCAGCATCGAACTCTTGGTTGACCTGGATTGACCCAGATCCGGTAAAGAAATAAGGAGCCACACACTCATCGAGTCCATTCACAGCAAGGTTGCCGAGTTGGAGGTTATATGGCGTCATTCTCTCTTTGATATGCGAATTGTCATTCTTTTATGGTTTTCCCCTTCCACTTAAACTATTTTTTGAATTCTAAGTTGAATATTGATGTTATATTAGTGTGTTTGAATTTTTTATTATATGTTGGATTTAAGTACGAATTATTATTTTGGTATAGTATTATACGTTATTATCATATGTAGATGAGATTTGATATAATTCATAAATGTATGAACAATATAATGATTTTTTCATATATTCCAGCTAAATCAGTTTAAAGCGATTGGATTATTAACTTTCAATCTACTTATTCGATCAGGTCAACGGACTAAATTGGATTGACAACCTCGTTGATTTGCTATAATGGGCTTCCGGGCTTGGGCCTGGAATTAGAAATGAGAAGGAAGTGGGGAAATCGAAAAGGAAAGGTAGAAGAAAGAAACAGAGAGATTGTGATTTGATGTGTTTCATTTCAACTTCCAGTGGAAAGAAACAAAGGGACCAGCTGGTAAGTTTTTTTTTTTTTTTTTTCTCTGTCACTCTTGCGGCTGTGCTGCATTTGCATTCTTTCCTATTTTGTTTCGTAGAATTTGGACAATTTTTGGCTTTTGTTGAACAACAATTTTGTATGGACTGGAAGGTTACAGCAAAGTGATTATACAATATATGAACTAACTAGATAGTTGTGATATGGACGAATTGGAAGCATAATGCAATGCCATTGATGGTTTACATGTTTAGATCTTTCCAAAGTTAGGTCTCTGTTTGACATTTTTGTGATAAGACTTCAAGTTTTCTCGCATTTTGTGGCCGGTAATGTTGGTTGATTATGTTTCAAGATCTAGTTGTACAGTGGATCGAGAGGCTGTATTAGAAGTATTGGGAAGATGGATGGAGCTTCAATAACAAGTATGGGTAGAATTCATTGTCTAGAACGAAATAAATATGATCAGGTCGTTAAAAAATATGCTCGTGTATTTGGAAAAAATGGTTGTTTATTTTGCTTGTTGGTTCCAGAAAAGACCGACAATAATAAAGAAAACATGCCTCTAATTTCAAGACTTTTGGGGTTTTTTTTTCCTTTTTCTTTTACAGTTAAAAAGAAGAGATGCTAATTTTGACGGGGAGGTATCGTATAGTAAGATTAATAGAGTTTGAGCAGACCATACACCATAGTGAGAGGGTGGGATTTTGAAGAGTTTTCTTGGGAGGAATTTCCAAAAACAAGACTTTGGGTTCGTCCAATAGCAACGTTGAGTAGGCAAATCAAGAAGAGGAGGATGTCTCAACCTTGGAAATGTAGTCCTCATCTATTTTATGTAATCTTTCCCTAGTTGCTTTTGTTAGTTGAACCCTAGTTGTCTGAGTTAGTATTTTAATTTAATGCAAAAATGTGGTTGTGATGACTTATCCTTTTGATCTATCCGTGATTATTGATGTCTTATACAAAATTTTATTTTCAGAGGGAGAAATTATCCTTGGTTTGATAAAGCTCTCATGGTTGGGACTTGGGAGTGGTTGATTTGGTTGTATCAGAACGAATCACAAACTCTCATTTGCTAATGATGAAACCTAATAGCGGGATTTATGACTCACTTAAGGTTTTGGTTAGGAAGTTTAGGTGGAAAGACGACTTCATACTTTATCTCGACGAAAATATATTGATTGCATGAATAGCGAGTTAATACTAATTATAGGAATCCCCACAATCTAAAGGATATGATGCCAAATGAATTGTTGCATCAATTGGATGTTAGTTCATTTATTGTGAAGATTTCACTCTATGCAACAAGTCTCCCCAAATGCTTTATCCTTTAGTTTTTATTATGGATTAGTTTAGCTTAGATAGAAATTGAACTTTCATTGTACTGACAAGATAGAGATTCAAAATTTTGCCCTAATACTTTTCGTTCTTGTGGAATTACAATTTATATTGAAATTGTACTACTACCTCAATCATTACACTTGCCATAGGAACCAAGTAGTCAAATGCTATCACATTGCATAGAACTTGGCTTTGATCATTGTTAACACTAATGCTCTATTTACATCTCTACAAAATTGACGATATGAGATTTGAGAGATGATGACCAATTCATTAAGGTGTTGAATATTAGTTCTTGAGGTGTTACCATCACTGACACCAAGTTGATGAGGATATTACGTGGTCTTAAATTGGTATGGAAGATGGATATCGTAGGTGAAAATAATTCATAATAACTTTGTAGTTGCATCCTAAATGACACATCAAGTCGATAGACACACATCCTACCTTCACGTTATGGTTTTCAACATGGAATCGTGTTGCATGACCCTTTTGACACCATCCCTTTGTCATGTTTTAAAATGTAGTATGGTGGTGTTGTACATTTCCTTAACAAATGATATGGTTTGAAACAAACACCTCCTGAAAAGTCTGTTTTATCTAGCAAATTAACATTTTGTTCTTTTTGTATGTTATTTTTCTATGAAACACATAGCTTAAAATAACCTTATAACTTTCACGCATGAACTAACTTTGGAGTTTTAATTTCGATACCATCAAAGTAAAACCAATACTCAATGCAGCTAAAAAGTGAGTGAAAAGTGTGTCTTTCCAAAGACAAAAGAATGATCTGCGAGGCTAAGTGGTCAGTCATAACATTGACCTTGCCATAGGCATATTCAAGATTGACATGCTAAGGTAATGCCATAACCTGTCAGATCTACTGTGATCATCGTGAAACGCAACATGAAAGTGTAAATATTTCGATAAAATATTCGACTGTATTTTAGCACGTCTGTAAAAGAACTTTCATAATCCCCCATTTTTAGTGATATTCACTCCATACTAATCCACCTCTCTAAGAGAAATGACTCTTTGAATTTTTTTATATAGGAATCTAGGATACTTTTATTGCTTAACCTTCAACGTGGTTACAATCCGCATCAAGCAGCGGTAGTAAAAATATGGGTGGCCTCTCCTTCCAAATTTCCTGGGTATCCCAGTTACAAAAAGTATGAGCCATTGTGAGATTTGAGAGATGATGACCAATTCATTAAGGTGTTAAATATTAGTTCTTGAGAGGTTACTATCACTAACACCGAGTTGACGAGGATATTGCTTGGTCTTAAATTGGTATGGAAGATGGATATTGTACGTATAAATACTTCATACTAACTTTGTAGTTGCATCCTAAATGACACATCAAGTCGAGAAAAACTCATCCTACCTTCATGTTCTGGTTTTCAACATGGAATCACTTTGCATGACTCTTTTGAGACTATCTTTTATCGTAATTTCAAAATGTAGTATGGTGGTGTTGTACATTTCGTTAACAAATTATATGGTTTGAAACAAAAACCTCCAGAAAAGTCTGCCTTATATAGCAAATTGACATTTATTCTTTTTGTATGTTATTTTTCTATGAAACACATAGCCTAAAATAACCTTATAACTTCTATGCATTAGCTAGCTTAGGAGTTTTAATTTTGATGCGATCAAAATAAAACCAATACTCAGTGTAGCTAAAAAGTGAGTGAAAAGTGTGCCTTTCCAAAGACAAAGAATGACATACGAGGCTAAGTGATCGGTCATAACATTGACCTCTCCATAGGTATGTTAGAGATTGACATGTTAAGGCAATGTCACAACTTGTCAGATCTTCTACGATCATCGTGTAATGCAAACTAACAGCATGTATGTTTTGGAAACCCTAACTTGATTTCTCATTGATTCACATTGAGCTTATATACATGGTTCGTGCATTACAGGACAAGCAACTCTAGCTGTAAATTGACAGAAGATAAGGACAGAAAAACAGAAAAGAGGGAACATAAACTGGACAAGTGAAAGAGACGTTGTGGCTTCAGGGCACAACGGCGACGTTTCAACCATCCTTAGTCTCACTACCTGCTACGACGACATCTTGATCATTTCCGGACTCTCTACTTGGGACAACACCGTTCCAGCTATATCAGTCTTCGATTTGCCTAAGACGACGTCGCACCAGCTGATTACCTTGGTAGTCGTTGGAGTTGCGAAGAAAATTTTGAATTTTTCTCTGATACACCCCAGCAAGCTGGTGGGCAGAAATTATGCACACCAAGCTTGGAGAGGAGGTTAGAGAAGATGGCAGGAGGTAGAGCCGTGGTGAAGATATCTGCCAGCTGGTGCAAGGAGGAGACATGAAGTAGCTTGATGATTCCGCTATGCAATTTTTCCCTTACCAGGTGACAGTCGAGTTTTATGTGCTTAGTTCTCTCGTGAAATGTGGGATTCTTTGCAATGTGAACGGCTGATTGATTGTCGCAATACAGGATCGCCGGTTAAGAATGTTGCACCTGGAAATCTTTGAGAAGGTAGAGAAGGGACTGAAGTTCGCAAGTTTTGTCTGCCATCGCCCCGTATTCAGCTTCGCAGGAAGACCTAGAAATTGTTTTCTTCTTCTTGTTGTGCGCATGAGATCAAGGCGTTGCCAAGATAAACGCAGTAGCCAGTAACAGATCATCTCGTGTCCATACAAGATGCCCAGTCAGAGTCACTGAAGGACTTGAGGTGAAGAGTTGATGTGGTGGGGAAGAAGAGGCTTGTTGATGGAGCAGATTTAAGGTACCTAAGAATCCTTGTCACTGCTTGATAATGTTGATTGCTTGGATTGGACATGTACTGAGCTACTTGGTGAGTGGCAAAGCTTATATCAGGGCGTGTAGTGGTCAAAT